TTTTTGGTGACGCAATATATCGCCCATTATATTTACTTAAAAATTAATGTCACCATGTTTTGTACATTCCACTGGCGCCTGTGTCTTTTGCAGCTTCTCGTCGACAATAATATCGCTTATCGCAATTATTTCTGGGGAAATATATCGCACAACAAGTAGTTGTTATCGTGACAGAACTAACTACAATGAATTACGTAATACTGTAAAGCCCCCTAAAGCATTCAGATGTATTCAGGGTGCTGTTGCACCGGCTACTGTAATATTATTAATATAAAATTAGACAATATTATAGCAGTTCGGAACCTGACAGTGGTCGTTGTAAGAGCACGGGCCATTGCAACTGTAGGAATACATACTAACTCATCGTGAAAGCTACTAATTACTTATTCAAAATGATACATCATTTGGGTATTTATATAAGGGTGAAAAAAATGTTAAATAAAGCAGCAGACTGTGGGCGAAGCAGGATGGTCCGCCAGTGTGGACTTTTAGCCAAAGGCTATTAGCTGGCAGGCCTTTTGACTGTGTTCTTTAATTTATGCTAATAGCTGCTGAGAAGATGTGGATGTCATTTAGCGGAATATATTATAAACAATCTTCATTTATGTGCATGAAAAGAAATACCTGGCATGCGTGAGTGACATGAGTATAACAAGCAGGAACACGCCAATAAATGAACGTGCATACTGGTATAAACCCGACAGCACACGTACAAAAGACTTTAAAACAGTATGTGATGTAAAAACGTACTGGTTGTCGGTATAATACAAAAATAAAGTGACTAGAGGCTCCCTGACCATTTGACATTTGTAGCTGGGTGGTGTCATTTCACCGAGACATTTTACAGCGTCTACAGAATGTAATTGTGTGAGAGGTTTAAAAATCTGCTTTTATTTGAATACAACAGAGTTATGACAGATATTAGAGGACTTGCACGTGCTTTCGGTGCATCTGCCATCCTGCACGTATCTGGAATCCCTAAAACGTGACGCATGACACTTACACTTCCGGTTATCACTGATTGAACTCGCTCGGCCTTCATAAGCATAAGCTTCAGGGATGCCAAAAATTAAAGCTGAATTTTGATATGCCTACATTACGCCAGACAGCATAAATTAAGAGTACGAGCATGTGGATATATCGTTAGTGAGTATTATAACGGTGACAATTCAGACTCACCTCATGATAACGCGCTTTCCTTTCACATTCACCTTGTCCAACGTGAGTTTGTTTGACAGAGACATTCTGGCTGTGGATATGCAACAAATCTCTCCTTAGGTGGTGTGGCGTGGTGCAGTGTTCCCGAGTGAGAGTGACCTTAGCTTGATGCTGATGTACACAGTGTGGGCGGGTCTAATCGAGGTATGAGGTTCTAAACGTAGCGCTCATTGGATATACTTGCTGTCAATCAATGCCTAACTGAGCGCAAAGACAACTTTGACGGAATGTGTTGCAACGTTACTGCCCCCTATCTAGAGACCCTACGCTCCTGAATTAAAATATATTAAAGGGGTCATATGATGCGATTTCATTTTTTCCTTTCTCTTTAGAGTGTTACAAGCTCTTGGTGCATAAAGAAGATCTGTAAAGTTGCAAAGACTAAAGTCTCAAATCCAAAGAGATATTCTTTATAAAAGTTAAGAGTTAGCCACACCTACCTAAAACGGCTCGTTCGAACACGCCCCCACATACAGTGGGGCAAAAAAGTATTTAGTCAGCCACCAATTGTGCAAGTTCTCCCACTTAAAAAGATGAGAGAGGCCTGTAATTTTCATCATAGGTATACCTCAACTATGAGAGACAAAATGAGCAATGCGTAAAAAGACAGTATAAGTCATTATAATCAGTAATTATGCCCCCATGTTTTTGTCTCGTCGCACTGGGACACAGCATCACAATATGATAAGGGGTGTAACATTTCCGTCACATGCTTGAGGTATTCGGCCAATCACAATGCACTGGTTAGCTGGCCAATCACAGCACACCTTGCTTTTCAGAACGATGAGCTTTGTAAAAATCGACTCGTTTCAGAAAGGCGGGGCATAGAGGAGAAACAATAATGTACAATATGTGGAAAATAATGTGTTTTTTGAACCTTAAACCACAAACACATTTCATTACACCAAATACACCAAATAATGTTCTTTTTAGCAACATCATATGACCCCTTTAAATCTTTTCCTGGGACAGTCAGGGGAACGCTTGTACTTTATGAGGTTTTATTACCCCATCCCCAAGATCTATGAGAGTGAAGATATAATACACATGGCAAATACTACAGTATATCATTCCAAGAAAATAAAAAGATGACTGGAACTTTAACGTCCGCCATCAGGTGCTGGCATTTAGATCTTACCTCGTAGGCCCGATCATGGCTTAACAGAGGGTTCCGGTCGATGTAGGAGACCTCCAAATTTGTCCACCTACTGTTGGAACTTGCAGGTACACAAGTTGGTTGGATTTTTTCAACTAGCTCCTCCATCTCTTCTTCCTCCACTTCGGTTCTTGGTTCATGAACAGGAACACGTGGACGATGGTGTACTTATAGCAGGGGCGGGACCACTTTGTAAGGCACCGACTCATGGAACCTCCAAACTTGAAGAGACTGGACCAGGAGCAGCTGAGACATTACCCTCAACTGCTGGAGATACTTCTGAGTGACTGCCAGCTGACGCTCCAGCGCTGCCAGTTTCTGGAAAGACACATAAATGCCGTTTTGATCATCCCCACGCACCTGAGGAACACCAGAGCAGTGATTGTTCTGTCTTTTGGCATACCTCTGGGGAGACGCTTTATGCAGATCTCCAACCAGGGCATGCCATGTTCTCTGTACTTCTTCAGGTTTCTTGAGAACGACAGATCCAACTCCTCAATTCTGGCACACACATCTCCTCTGTACACGGCTGCACGAGCTGCTGCAGATGGAACCTCACTGTGCTTGTGTAGCTCCACAAAATCCTTGAAGTTCCATTTTGCTTCGCAGTTGTGCATCTTGGAGGTGACCATCTCCAAGGCTCTCCCAAACGTATTTGGATATCCAAAGGCTTTTCTCTGGAACACTTCCTGACAGAACTCCCCCACCGTCCAGCAGTCCACTAAACGTCCGATGGGACGATCAGGCCCTTTCAAAGACTGCACCAGCAAGCGGTTGTTTCTCTGGTAAAGGTCACAGAGAAGAATCTTGGTTAATTCTTCACCAACCACTTGCGCCCCTGCGAGAAGGCTGTCGGTCAAAGGGATGCGCTGCAGATGCCAGGTTTCCAGGAGACTCGCCCACCCTCGCGCTGCCAACTGGAGCCAACCCGAGAAAGCCCCTCATCCTCCTAAGGCTGTTTGGATGGGTAGCACTTACACCAAGCGATGATGCGTACTGCCTGGAAGAACTACACATGGCCCACCCAAAAAATTGTTCCTCCACCGCTAGCTCCAGCTGGAATGCAGTCCAGCTATTGCCTTTCTTGTACTGCAGCAGATTGTAGAGTGTGATGCTAAGGTAGGTGGCTACTGCCTGAACCATGTGGCACAGACCCAATCCGTTTTCATTGTCCCGAAAAGGAATAAGCATCGGAACTGATTCTAGGAGATTGTCCATCATGGGATGGATGAAAAAATGGCTCAGCTACAACACCTCCTGGTATCCATGACACACCAAAAAAAAAATGCCCTCCAACCTCGCATAGGTCCTGGTGTATGCCCTCCGGGCCAGGTCATCAACGTGCTCCACGTACCTCTTGGCGTTAGGGGCAATCATCCTCCTGTGCTTCTCGATGTGTAGATCACACATTGTGATCACTTGGCTGACGGGATGTTTCTGTGGCGATGCCTCGTGGCAATGTGGAGTCACCGCGTACAGTTGCAAGAAATTCAAGTGGCAACTTCCTTCATGCACAACCTGCCTAAGCATTAAATCAACATCCATGGGCAGATGGTCTATGCTGCTTTGGAAGTTGGTGGTTTCGCACATTGAGTAGGCCGGAAAAAGGGTTCCACGGCCACCCACCACCTCCTGAAGTCCGCAACGGGACCACAAAAGATCAAGTGTGGATAATGCATCAACTGGTCCGGCGCAAAATATTTCAAAATAAAGTTCCCTATGAGTGTCCGAAGTGTCCAAAGGTATTTTTCAGTGATTTTGTTTTCTATATATTTTTGTTGTAAAAAAACAAAAAAAACCCTTGAAAGCCCTTTAACATCACAAAGCAGCATCAATGTTCTGCACGTATTTAAATATAATGAAATATTAAAGTACATGAATAAATAAACTAATAATAAATATGAATACTAAATACTAAAGTGAGAATGATTCAAACTCACTAGAAAGTTCCAGGAAAGTGTGTTGGGAGCTAAAATCTGCAGGACAGTGGCCCTTCCAGGGGCAGGACTGGACACCCGTTCTAGAGGTGCTCTGAGCGAGGATTAAAAGGAAACATCTCCTGTCAAAAGACCTGATGCATGTATCAATTCCCCAAACCTTCTTCACATCTGTCACTTATTTTTAAATTTATATTTTAACTTTGCAGTTTAAATAAAAATATAAATCTAGAATATTCCAATATACAAACAAGTTACCCTTCAATTCCTCCATCCTCATTTTCTATGCATTCTTCCCTCGCATCCTAAGGGGTGGAGTTAAGACAAGGAAAGGAAACAAAGGTGCACAAATAAAAAATAAGAAACACCCAGTGAAAGCTGATGATCAGGGGCATGGTACCAACAAAGCCTGATTACATTTGTTTGGTTTTGTCAGTGTGAAATCAATCCTGTAACCCAGTTTGTTAGGCTAGCTTCATGGTACAGGAATTCGAGTTGTGAACAGTTTAGGATTTCATCGTAAATACAAAACTGACCTTCAAAATGGACATGACCATCAAAATAGACAACTCATTTGATTATAGAATGTCAAGCTAATGTAACGTCAAATGTGCAACTGATGTAGGATCAAATCTGACCTAAACCCTTTAATAATGCATTTTAGCATGAAGTAAACAAGATGACTAATGTTAAGATTTATATTTAATTTATTACATTTTTACAGACATGCCAAGATAGCAACAAGATTGGATAAGGTGAGAAATCTCCATTTGCAAAATGGAAAAGTTCAAAATGTCATTCAGAATCCTCCAGCATTCGGTGCACAATGAGGAAATGCATTCATTCCTCCTGCCACGGCTTGGGCTGCACCTTGCCTACAGGTGACAGGTTCCATGCAATGCCTGTTGATGTGATCACCTGCAAAGACAGTGCACAAAATCACATATAACACTAAAATGAGAAATAATTACTATAAGGTTTGTGTTTGCAGTCACTTACATATGCCCAAACAGCTGTGCAAAATGTGGCCCCAGCAATCAGAAGAGGAAGTCCATACTTTGCATGAAATTCACGGGACAGATCAGACTTCTGTCGTACAGCCACCTGACGGGCACTCTGACCTATTGTAAAGAAAAAGAAAAATGTATTCAAGTTTACATTTGCTTTAACACATTATTCATTGCCTCAACGAAGAATTGTCAAAAACTTGGACTCACTGAATTTTTGAAAGACATTACTAATGCCAACCATTGACCTCTTTTTAGTCGTATACATGACATATTTATGGCATATACATTTATAGATATATTAGAAACATTTTAGAACATACGACACATTCTTGCACTCCGCGGGAGTAATATTTAACGTTACATTTTAAGATTTATATGAGCTATATGTGATGTCAGACAGGTTTTAAGCGCACATATGGCAAATAAATAAAATATAAACATGTCTTTATAGGGAAAAGGTGACAACATATTAAATTACTTGCTAAAACGTACACACCAGCGAACTACGGGTGTATTAGATTAAACTAGCTTTAGCACACAGGAAAATTACAGCCAGATTATTGGCCAGATACGGTTCACTGAAATGTGAAATAAAACGGTCAGTCCTTGATTAAGATATTTAACTTACCGCTGAGGTTCAGGGCAGCCTTGGCGAAACGATACATGGTTATGTCTCTGTACAGCCGACCGCTCGCGCTAATACCCTTGAACTGAATGGCAGAAACAAAATGGCAGCGCGGAAATAAGTGAGCGATGCGTGCGCGCGCGTGCACGCGAGGGGAGCCTAAAGACTATCAGCGGTAGATTCAACATAACGCCAAATTAAAATGATACACGAAAACAAACGGATAGTTTAAGGTTATGTGGTCTATGGTTAACCTATACGGGAGTAACATATACTAATAAGTATAAACGCGTTAAAATATTTACATTTTTTCTGTATATATTAAGGAACCATCACTGCTGTTTTACGTGTGTCAACAGTGTTAAAGTTAGTTCAACAGTTCGCTGGTTGTTTATAAACACAATTTATGATTGTATCATAAATTTGAGTTTTTCGCCGAGAGGCTATAGACGTGTCAGGATGGCCGAGTGGTCTAAGGCGCCAGACTCAAGGGCTGTTCCCTTCCGAACGAATCGGGTATTCTGGTCTCCAACTGGAGGCGTGGGTTCGAATCCCACTTCTGACATACACTTTTTTTTTCTTGAACTAGAAATTATACGAAGGTCATCAGATGTCTTAAATGCAAGAAACAAGCTCATCCTTTTCATGCAACTTTACATAATTCACAAAATTAGAGGGAAGAGGAAGTCTTCCCTTCTCTAACATTGTAAATATGAATAAAATAGTCAGGAAACTGTAAATAAACCGCTCAAAAAAAGATATAAAATGTAAAATCGTTTTTTTCCCTATGGAACCGTTTATTAACACTTTGTACAAAATAAGAAATCAAATCTTTCAACAAGTTTGCGTTTGTGTTTAATGTTTTGTTACACTGTTGTATCATATTTGCTACACCAGGCTTTTATATAATGTGCTATAGTGAGAATATGCAGCTCACACTCAAGTAGAAATAAACTTTATCTTCCAATAATATATCGTAGTAAATTATATTTCAATACCACTTAAAATTAAGGGATAGTTCACCCAAAAATGAAAATGTAAACACACCCAAATCTGTACGAGTATCTCTCTTCTGCTGAACACAAAGGAAATGTTGGTAACCACTGATTTCCATAGTATAAAAGAAACTTTTAGCGTTATGCAGTGCAATGATGATTGATAGATGCACACATAAACATTTCTCAGTAGCCTGTTGCATCATATTTGATACATTTTAACATGAAAAAAAAATGTATGGACACTCAAGTGGCTTCTGTCCAGTAAATGTCCATCTTGAAATGTTAATAATAATATAGAAGTTATTCTTACAATTACATTATAAAAATCATTAGATTTCACAGCAAAAACACACATGTACCACACGACCTGAGGGTGGACGTTTCTAGAATTATACAAACAGGCCTTTTACTTGCTAAAAAGTCTCAATCAGATGACAGAAGGCTTGTTGTACACTGTAAAAAATGACCGTGAATTTAACTGTAAAAGACTGTTAAAATGCTAGAGTAAAAACCTGTTAAATGGTTAATGGTAAATTCCCCTACTATATACGGTGAAAAACTGTATTGGATATTACATGTATTGGACATTAATTTTACGGTAGTATACCATTTTTGGAAGTGAAAAAGACTGTATAACAGTGAATAACCTTAAATTGACACTCCCAGAATTCCATGCGTTACATTTCAAATTGGATGTTTTTTTGTTAAAATAACTATGTTTCTTCTTAGCTTTTTTCTTATCAGTTTTGTATATTAGGGTTGTGTGTTACACCCATAGACTGTATAAAAACAGGTTACACCTAATGTTGTTAAATGAATGTTTATTGCATTATTTCAGTTTCACGTGTGTTACCATGATGGTGTTTGGTGTTTGTGTGAATGACACTGTGCACCTTCTATATATGTTATAATATAAAAGCTGCTTGTGATGGGCTTTGGTTCATCATGTGACTTTCTCATCACCACCTGCATTTGGTGGTTATCAGTGTATTACAAAGGTACAAAACAGATTTCAGTACTTCAATAAGGTTGGTATATTAACATTATATCAGTTAATGAAATTACGGTATTTAACTGTAAATTTAAGTTAAAACCGTAAAACCTAAAATGTTGCTACCTTATTTTTTACGGTAAAATTCTGGCAACCACAGCTGCCGTTTTTTTACGGAATTTTTTTTACAGTGTAGGTTATGTAAAACATGCTTTTCAGCAAAGTTCTGATCATGTTGATAATCTAGAGGCCTTTTGAAATCCATGTACCAAATATCATACAGTAGGCTTTATTGAGTTAACTTGCTACAGGAACAGTTCAGCTGGAGCAAATGTTTTGTTAAATGGATTCATGATTCCATGGGTTCATGGATACACCACCAGTAATCAGCAACATATACTTTAAACCAACATAGAGTTTTAAAACAAAATCAGTAAGGCACAATGGTAATAAATCATATTCTTTAATAATAAACATTATGAACAGAAAAGGTGTTTTGCAAATACTTTTCTTGGTAACAAAAGTTGAAAACATAATCTCAACATAATGGAACGTAATGTTTATCTAATCTACCAATTTCCTGAGCAGATGTTAAGACTAGTATGCGATAAGTTTGCTCGAAGCCCTCTTTAGTATGGGCCTCGTCTTAATCTGTATCAGGGAAACTGGTCCGACAAGCACCCCTGAAAGAGATCTCCATTCCAACTTTTTCTATGACACTCATTTAAAAGCATTCTAGTGTATTTTGATGTTTATATATGTATTCGGTTTAAATGTTCTCTGGTTAGATAAAAATCTGGAGTCAGCAATCAAAATAAAAAGAGCGAGAATTGTGTCCCATATTTATAGCAAGCCATATATTCCTGAAGAATATTTTTACCCAAGAATTCTTCAAATGACATGATTATGAGTCACAGTTGCTGTAGATATAACATAAACTACATTAGGTTTTTGAATACAGTGATATGAGATTCTGTTTCTGAACACATGATGTGCTAATTAAGGTCACAGTGATGTATACGAAATGACGTGAAGGTTCAGCAAATGTGACTGCAACAAAACTAACATGAATGGAAGAGCTAGGTTTCTCCATGTTCTAATCCTTCTTTTTGTCCTTGACTTCCTCATCATCTGTGTACTCAGTCGGTTCTTCTCCAGGTTTAAGAAGCCTCCCAACATAATCATATTTCTCTGTGGAGGCAAATACAACCTATTACTCAACATTTAGCAATGCAACCCCGTTGCAACATTCCCGAAGAGCGCAACTGTAAAAACAGAGGCTGGAACAAAAAGTGTCCTTCAACTCACGTGTGAACTGGGTCTCCCACTCGCTCAGGCTCTCCTGCTGCATAGCATTGAGATCTGAAAGATCATCATGAGTGTCTTTCAAGGCCTCCTTCTCCAAACAGAACGTGGCCAGTCCTCTGGATGCATCTCTGCCTGCAAAGACCCCATAAGGGCCCTCTAAAAGTGAACCAAGTGGGTATTAGGTCTTCAAAAATATATGATGTCAACAGGAATGCAAAACAAGTAGTGTTCATTTTCTTGAATGAAGCACCATTCTGTGCTCAGTGGACATCTTCAGTATCTAGTCAACCTTTATACGAGGTTAGTTAATCATTCACTGATGACCAGCAGTTTTGGCATTGCAAAAGTGTGCACAAAAGTTACAAAAAACCTCGGTATCAGGCCGTGACGTCTCGGTATCAGACGAAAAATAATGTAAATATAGACGCACTTTAACGGGGTTGCGTAACATCTCCATTATCCTGACTTTTCAGTAGGTTAGGGGTTATGACTTGGCATTTGTACGTTGTTTAAAAGGTGCGACATAAAGGGGCGTGTCTGAAATTAAATTAATGCATTTCCTTGGAATATTTTAAAATGAATAACTCGCATATATGCCAACGTAATTCAAGAAATCACGTAATCCTTTGAAATAAATAAATAAATGCATTAAAAAAAAATCACCTGAGATAAATTTGAAATAAGACCCGAGATTGAATCTGAGATATTCGCATGTTACCTGGTCCGTAGAACTTCTTCCCTCTTGTGACATCAAACACTTTCCCGGTGACAGCCATCAGGATTCTTGGGTTTTTCAGTCCATCGTACTCTTGCAGTTCTGCTAAAGTGAAATCTCTTTTCTTTAGTTTAGGCAGCGGCTCTTCAACCGGGCCGAAGTCTGCAGGCTTGTCTCCGCGGACGATTTTGTACAACAGGAATAAACAGAGACATAGCAAGCTAATGTTCAGAGGCGAAGTGAAAATTTCCTGAAGAATTCCAGAACTTTGCTCGACCTCCTCTTCAGCCATTTCGTTTCTGATGTCGTGCGTGAGAACATCGAGACTCATCGACGACCACAGCAGTGAACCAATCACAGAAGCCAAAAACACACAATAGTGCGACGCCAGCCAATCAGAATCGAGGTGGATTTCTGGGGCGTGTAGTTTTTGTGATGGCTTTGGAAGTTAACTGTAATCTGGAAGCCTTGCGTGACTTTTTTTTTTTTTTTTTAATGCTTTGTAATACTGAGAAAATATTTCTTTAACTGTGCTATAATAAAAACAAGATATAAACTATATGTAGAAGTGCTATATAGTACTTATATATACTATATAAACTATATGTATATATGCGCTATATAAACTATATGTAAGCATAACTAATGTCCTGTGCCATGGAATTATATTTCAAATACTTCAAAATATAAATGATTGAACAGCTATTACATAACCAAGGAAAGTGTTAGATATTCAGTTACTTCAGTTCGAAGTTTCATATTTTAATACAATGTTTTAAAGTCATGTAGGAATGTAACTGCCATGAAAAATGTGAAACAGAAAAAAAAGCATATTAATTGGTAACTTACAAAAATCTTACCATATGCAGCAAGAAAAAAACATATCAAGTCAGTTTTGATGAACTGTGGTTATAACTGTGGATATAATTAATATAACAGATTGTTATATTAATGTGACAAACATAGAACTGTAAAGTGTACGGTCAACAAAATCTCGTAATTTTTGTATAACATCGTAATTTTTTTATTTATTATTATTATTATTATTTTTTTTTACAGTTCTGGCTTTCACAGCTTCATCCCTTTACATACATATACATTACATGTGCTGTTGGTCTTAAAGTACTTCCTCCAAACAGCAGGTGGCGGAATAAAAATGTCGAATCTATGCTTCATTCCTCAATGGAAGAGCGAGTGTAACGGGAAAAACAAAACACAGCAGGGCTAAGTCCAGTGACGTGGCCGCTCGATAGAGAAGAGAAACAGGGGCAATAGGTTGGATATGTTATGTTTATCCCTTATTTATTTTAATATTAACACCTTCCTTATAATTACATTTACAGCGTTCAGCTCACTGGATACTATTGCTGGATACTGACTAATTATTGCTGATGAAACTTAGCTTAGCTTAAAATACAGTACAGTACAGTATGCCAGAGAGTATTACAGACAAATGTAATGTGGCTTATTTAATAAGTATGTACTACAGCATCTGTTATAACGGCTTTTCATGATCAACTCATTTCTAAAAGTTCACTAATGTCTAAAGTCTGAATCTTATTTTTTGTTTGAGCAACGTTTATGAATCTTTGGCCTCAGCAATTTGTGACGTACGTGAAGGATGTTAACTGTACATCCAGGGACGTAACAATTTTCTCTGACGTTGTATTGAAGACATTTAAAAATGTGTTGGTTTTCAGTTTCAGAAACTACACTGTCATGTACACAACTACATATTATATAGCTATCATTTAAAAGTAATTACATATTTGTATGTCCATTCCAGGAGACTGGTATGTGCTCAGATGTCTGACAACGAAAGCTCCACAAGTGACCAAACAGAGAAATCAATGGACCAAGAGCCCAAAGAGCCTTCAACACCCACCGGAGATGAGCCCTCAGCTGAAACTCAGAGTGACAGCTCTACTGATGTAGCACCAACCCGAAAGACCAGGAGAAGACCAGAACATAAACCTCCACCAGAAGAACAGAAGAGCCCAGAGACACAAAAACCAGCAGAAAGAGCTTTAGACGTAAGCTTTTATCACACTTCTACTGATATATACAGTGGTGTGAAAAAGTGTTGGCCCCCTTCCTGATTTCTTATTTTTTTGCATGTTTGTCACACTTTAATGTTTCAGATCATCAAACAAATTTAAATATTAGTAAAAGATAACACAAGTGAACACAACATGCAGTTTTTAAATGAAGGTTTTTATTATTAAGGGAAAACAAAATCCAAAACTACATGGCCCTGTGTGAAAAAGTGTTTGCCCCCTAAACCTAATAACTGGTTGGGCCACACTTAGCAGCAACAACTGCAATCAAGCATTTGCGATAACTTGCAATGAGTCTGTTACAGCGCTGTGGAGGAATTTTGGTCCACTCATCTATGCAGAATTGTTGTAAATATATACACACACACACACACACACTTTGCACTTAAATATGTATTTCAAATAATATATTTAAATCAAAGACTACTTCAGTGTGGCTAATTTGTAGATTTTACCCCAGAAAATTGCTCTGTATTTTCATATTTTTCATATTTAGTGGTCATTTTTGACTGCAAAGATCACGTGTGTAACTTTTTTTAAAGTGCCCATATTATCGTCATTTATTTAAGTTATTGTCATTTTCTAATTTTATTTTTGGGTTCTGTTAGAATACATTTACATGATTTAAGGTTTTAAAAACATTATTTTCCTCACTCTGTACATTGTTGCAGCACCTCTTTTCACCTAAATGCTCTGTTTTAGTTCCTGTCTCTTTAAAGCCCACCTTTCTGCTCTGTTTTCTCTGATTGGTCAGCTGGCCCAATCTGATATGATTGGTCAACCTCTTAGCCTTTTCTAATCATGTCCGAAAAAAAAAAAAAAGTAAAAATTCAGAACATGAAAATGTCACCTTTTTCCCATCAGCCCTCCCCAGAGACGACTGTTTCCCAGGGAGGTTGGGGTTACTGGGGTAGCTGGGGTAAATCTATCCTCTCCACTGCTACTGCCACTGTAGCTACTGTGGGTAAGTGGCTCAAGATTTTCACTTTTTTTTTTTAAACAGCTCAATTCTTATATCATCAAGACTCATACTGTTCATTCATTGTCTAAGGCCAAGGGTTGACACAGGTCATTGAGAAAGCTGAGACATCTCTAGGAATCCCAAGTCCTGAGGAGCTTTCAGCTCAAGCGGAAAAAGAAAAAACTGATGGTAATGATGTGCTCTTTGATTGACATGGGATACATCAGACCAAGCACACCAGTTCACAAGTATTGATGATCTTCCTTCTTTTTGCTCTGCAGATTCAGCCAGTAGTAAGGAAAATAAAGATGAAGAGGAGAAGATGAATGGGATGGGTGGTGCTATGGGAATGATCTCCTCCAGTAGTATGGGAATGCTGTCATCTTTAACCACTGTAGTTCAGAGTACGGTAAGGGTGAGGTAAAAGTATGCTGGATGGTAATAAAGCGAATACATTTTTATTTAAAATAGGACAAAACAAGCTTTAAAGGTGCTATAGAATGGAAAACTGTATTTACCTTGGCATAATAACAGTTCTGTACATGGAAATGACATACCGTGAGCCTCAAACACCATTGTTTCCTCCTTCTTATGTAAATCTCGTGCATGCAAAAGACCACTGAAAAAATAGACAAATCAGAACATAACACCGACTGTGACGTTACAGTCGGGATCACTAATAGTTACGCCCCCAACATTTGCATATACCCGCCCATGTTCTATGCCAGCCGCCAACCGAACCTGCACAGCCGAAATTTCTGCAGGTATTGTGAAGAAACAAGCGAGGATAAAATGACTGAGGATGATGGCGAATGATTTACAGATCCTGAGCACCACTGACAAGCATCTGATCTTGTAAAATGTGTGGGAAGTACTGCCGCTGTAGTTTACACAGGGCACGTGCGATCGCAAATCTCGAAAGTGAAAGTAAAACGTGATCGTGCATTCGAAAGCAGTTTCAATGCCCCGCATATTAATAGCGGCTCCCTGATGCCCACATTTTATATACAGTATAATTACACAACAATATAACTGCGAGAGACAGTATTGAAATATATATTTTTGCGGTGTTTCCTTCCTGCTGTGTGAGCTACTGAAATGAGCCGCACTGTGAAACAGCCAATCAGAGCAAAGCTCAACATTGAACATTATTTATGATCCTTCCAAATAAGGTAACAACAGACCATTTCATTCTAGGGACAAATCCTAATGTTGTAAATGGACATGTAAAACCGTTTCTGGAGATTTTTTGCCCTTACCTAAGCCACATACCTTCTATGTAGATATCAGAGAACAATTTAAAATATTATATCAATGCATTTATGGCACCTTTAAAATAATAGCTAAAACATCTCAAAATCAGGATTTTTCTTTCAATTTACCTCCTCAACAACTGTTTTATTTATTGATGGATTGATTGATTGATTAATTGAAGAACCAGGGTTCCCATGGTCTTGGAAAACCAGAGGAGGCCTAATTTTAAAAGTGTGATTTCTAAACCAGAAATTTAGTTAAATCGATTAGAAAAATTCTTATCCTTAATCATTAGCCAGTAAATCAAGGAAGACTGGACAAGTCATAAATGTTCCCTGAAAAACATACAGCTCCTAAAACTTCTGGAATCTTGAAATATAATTAATATAATTAAAATTAATAATAATAATAATAATAATAATAATACATTATTATAATTAGATCAATCATGCTTTTTGGATTGTGCTTAAGTGCAAATAAAAATGTATTCAAATTAAAATTATAAACTAATTTAACTGTGCCTACGTATAAAGTTTCTTTACAAAACAAAGAAAAAAAACAGATATTAAAGATGGGCTTGAAAGTAAAGTAAAAGCAGCATCCAGCATGTAATATTTTAATTAATTACTAATTGTTATATTAATAAATACTAATAAACAATTATTATTTTAAACATTAATTGTTTTCATTAATTATTTTATATATTTTATTTGATTGTAAATTTATTTATTCTGTCTTCCTATGTTTGTTGGCAAGGGTAAGACAGTAATAAGTGGTGGTCTGGATGCATTGGAGTTTATTGGGAAGAAGACCATGGATGTGATAGCAGAGGGAGACCCTGGCTTTAAGAAAACAAAGGGACTGATGAACAGAAACTCCACACTGTCACAGGTGCAGAAGCTATGAGGACTGTCTATCCCAATGAGATGGAATATATTAATAGCCACTTCAACTCCCCTTCAGACACCCGTACAGAAATATATGACCTTTACTTGAACACATCCTGACCGATTCATAATTTGATTCTGCTTATGAATTAAACTCCCCTGATTCTGTTTTTCATCTCTCAAAGGTCTTGAGGGAAGCAAAAGAACGTGAGGAGCAGCAGAAAGCTGAAAACGTCACTTCAGAAACAGACAAGAAGGCTCATTATGGGCTGTTGTTTGATGAATTTCAAGGCCTGTCCCATCTGGAGGCTTTGGAGATCCTCTCTAGAGAGAGTGAAGCCAAGGTCAGTAGAATTTTTTACAAACAATGCTAGAATTTAAAACAGTGAAGGATTTGAATGCAGGTGTTGTGTTTGTGTGCAGGTGAAATCAGTGCTGACCACTCTATCTGGTGAGGAGTTAGCTAAACTAAAACAAGAACTACAGGACATTAAAGAGCCTTTTTCCCTTATGGAGTTTGACGACGAGGTGGATGATGATGCGAAGGGTAAAAGCTTACAATTAACACAAAGCTAAAGTCAAAGAAATATAGTGATGTTAACATTTTTGAAATCTGGGACTTAGTAAATGAACAACAAATTATTAAGAACATAAAAAAACGTAATTTTTATTCTCAGGGGTTGATGGCGAGGATTTTGTGAAGGAACTGACGGATGTCCTTGAAAGACTACAGATTTCCACATCAGCAGACAAACTTTGCAAGGTAACACTTGAACATCTCTTTGTAATTGTAATCTTCAAGTGTTTTCTGTGTCAGATTATTTACGCTTACTCGTATCCACTCAGGCAAGAAAAAATGCATTCAACCATATCACAAACATGAAGCAACAAAGTGAAAACCCACAGCAAGAAGAAGAGGAGAAAGAACAGAAAACGGCAGTGTCGAAATGCAGTGTTGAGGTCTGCAACTCTTGCTATTTAGCCTGAAATGTACTAAATGACTTTTGTATGGAAGCCCGTTTCCGCCACTGAATAAAAAATAAAAAAGGTAATTGCGACTTTTTCTCTCACAATTCTGACTTTTTTTCTCATAATTGCGTGATACAAACTCGCAATTCTGACTTTTTTTCTCAGAATTTTGTGATATAAACTCGCAATTCAGATTTTTTTTCTCAGAATTGTGTGATATAAACACACTGAGAAATAAAGTCAGAACTGCGAGATATAAACTCACAATTCTGACTTTTTTCTGTTAAAAAACTTGCAATTCTGAGAAAAAAAGTCAGAATTGTGAGAAAAAAGGTTAGAATTGCGAGAAAAAAAGTCAGAATTGCGAGAAAAAGTCAGAATTGCGAGATATAAACTCGCAATTGCGATAAAGTCAGAATTGCTAAATATAAACTCGCAATTGTGAGAAAAAAAGTCAGAATTGTGAGATATAAACTTGCAATTGCGAGAAAAAAAGTCAGAATTGCGAGAAAAAGTCAGAATTGCGAGATATAAACTCGCAATTGCGAAAAAAAAAAGTCAGAATTGCGATAAAAAAAAAAGTCAGAATTGCGAGATATAAACTTGCAATTGCGAGTTATA